GGCTAGTCTAAATGTCGTGTAGGGGTCTAAATGTCGTGTAGGGGTCTGAATGTCGTGTAGGGGTCTGAATGTCGTGTAGGGGTCTGGATGTCGTGTAGGGGTCTGGATGTCGTGTAGGGGTCTGGATGTCGTGTAGGGGTCTGAATGTCGTGTAGGGGTCTGGATGTTACGAGGGGTCTTAGTGTCGTGCAGGGGTCTGAATTCTTATATTTGATTCATCTGAAAAAAAACGTTTTCATCCTTTACTGAAACACATTTCTTCACTGTTTTCATCCTTTACCGTAACACTTTCCTTCACTGTTTTCATCCTGTACCGTAACACATTCCTTCACTGTTTTCATCCTTTACTCTAACACCTTCCTTCACTGTTTTCATCCTTTACCGTAACACATTCCTTCACTGTTTTCATCCTTTACCGTAACACCTTCGTTCACTGTTTTCATCCTTTACTGTAACACCTTCCTTCACTGTTTTCATCCTTTACTTTCAATAGACAGATGGCACATTTTTCCGCCGTGCGCGCCATCTATAATTATCCCCCACTTTTGAGTTCTGAACTTGTGCCAAAAATTGGTTTCTTCCAATTGACAAGCAGGACAACTCTAGCCTCCCCCCCCCCTACCGTACCCCGCTCCCCTGGGCAGGTATGTGGAGAAAGTTTTAGTTTCACGTAGTTTCTGGTATTTAGTAAATGTTGGTTTGAAACTGTTACAAGGGCGTTTGAAGGCTGTATGGCATTCTTGGTAAACAAGGCTCGCACAGGAGGCAGTGCAAGCATGGATAACTATGGATCACAGGATCCAGGAGTGGATTGATGGATATGACACATTACGTCACGTTGGCTATTGCGCCATGTTTACCATAGGCCCGATTAGAACATCTGCAAACAGACAATACATCCACACCAATACCACATCCACACCAATACCACATCCACACCAATACCACATCCACACCAATACTACATCCACACCAATACCACATCCACACCAATACCACATCCACACCAATACTACATCCACACCAATACCACATCCACACCAATACCACATCCACACCAATACCACATCCACACCAATACCACATCAACATCAATACCAGATCCACACCAATACCACATCCACACCAATACCACATCAACATCAATACCACATCCACACCAATACCACATCCACACCTATACCACATCCACACCAATACCACATCCACACCAATACCACATCCACACCAATACCACATCCACACCAATACCACATAAGCCCCACATCCTCACCCACCCTTTCATTGTGAGGTTGTTAACAATATGTTGGTCTGTCAAGAATGGTCTAATTTGTGTCGGTCAGTCCCGTGCAAGCTTCAACTCACCAGTTCCTGAAGTACTCACGTTCTGGGACTTGCCCTCTCCTGTAGCTCTAGCCTCGGCATCCATTTTTTTTTCTCCTCTACGACTGAAGGCTCTCGACAGACAGTCGGAAAATCGATTTTTGTCAAGTAAATAACTGTCAAGTTTTACTTTCACTGTTTCTATAAATACGGGATTTTTGTCAAGTAAATAACTGTCAAGTTTTACTTTCACTGTTTCTATAAATACGGGATTTTTGTCAAGTAAATAACTGTCAAGTTTTACTTTCACTGTTTCTATAAATACGGGATTTTTGTCAAGTAAATAACTGTCAAGTTTTACTTTCCTTGTTTCTATAAATACGGGATTTTTGTCAAGAAAATAACTGTCAAGTTTTACTTTCCTTGTTTCTATAAATACGGTTTTTGTCAAGAAAATAAATAAAGTTTTACTTTCCCTGTTTCTATAAATACGGGATTTTTGACAATAAATAACGGTCAAGATTTACTCTCGCCGTAAGAACGAGATTGCTAGAGTGCAAACAAATTGCTTAATGTTTTATTGTGAAAAAAACAAACGAGATGATCTCCCCTTGTAAAAACACAACCATCTATCTTTTAAATGGAAAGATCAGAGAGATAGGAATGACATCTTCTCTATTGCGTCAGATGTGGCTAGGTGCAGATTCTATGTCATGTGGTCCATGTGGGTGTGACTAGGTGCAGGTGCTATGTCATGTGTCATGTGGTCTATGTGGGCGTGGCTATGTGCTAATGGTCATATGCCCGGTGTGGTTACAAGCTAATATCTCACTGTTGTCACTTTTCAGATGTTTCCAATTACATTATAAAATGACGTCACTTTACTGTCTTTAAACAGTCAAAAAACACGACAATCTGAACAGCTTTACAGCTTTTGTGGGTGGGAATGTTTTTTTTTTTTTTTTTGTTCACTGATTCACTTGTTCGGTCGGCGTGGTCGAGTCGGTAAAGCTCATGGTTGCTAAACCGAAAAGACTCGAGTTGAGGCTCGTTAGCTGGGGACAGCCACTGTTCTAGGAGAGACAACTCCAAAATCAAACAACTGCTGTCTTGTAGTGTGTTCTTGGTTGGACAAAGGCTATGGAAGCAAATCCAAAAAGAAAAGCAGGCTGAAATCGGAGTCCATGGCCTATATGGCGCATAACCAGTTGACACGTATCCTTAATTGTGATGGAGGCGTGGTCGAGTCGGCAAAAGCTCATGGTTGTTAAATGCGATAGAGTCTCGAGTTCAAAACCCTCTGGCGGATAAGGGTTGATCCCCTCCAACACTAAAAATTAAGAACGAAGAAGAAGAAGCTGCGTTAAATGTTTGAACCCAACATGGCCCCAATCCTCTACCCAACATGGCCCCAATCCTCTACCCAACATGGCCCCAATCCTCTACCCAACATGGCCCCAATCCTCTACCAAACATGGCCATAATCTCTACCCAACATGGCCATAATCTCTACCCAACATGGCCATAATCTCTACCCAACATGGCCCCAATCCTCTACCCAACATGGCCATAATCTCTACCCAACATGGCCCCAATCCTCTACCCAACATGGCCATAATCTCTACCCAACATGGCCCCAATCCTCTACCCAACATGGCCATAATCTCTACCCAACATGGCCATAATCTCTACCCAACATGGCCCCAATCCTCTACCCAACATGGCCCCAATCCTCTACCCAACATGGCCATAATCTCTACTCAACATGGCCATAATCTCTACCCAACATGGCCATAATCTCTACCCAACATGGCCCCAATCCTCTACCCAACATGGCCATAATCTCTACCAAACATGGCCATAATCTCTACCCAACATGGCCATAATCTCTACTCAACATGGCCATAATCTCTACCCAACATGGCCATAATCTCTACCCAACATGGCCCCAATCCTCTACCCAACATGGCCCCAATCCTCTACCCAACATGGCCATAATCTCTACCCAACATGGCCATAATCTCTACCCAACATGGCCATAATCTCTACCCAACATGGCCCCAATCCTCTACCCAACATGGCCATAATCTCTACCCAACATGGCCATAATCTCTACCCAACATGGCCCCAATCCTCTACCCAACATGGCCATAATCTCTACCCAACATGGCCCCAATCCTCTACCCAACATGGCCCCAATCCTCTACCCAACATGGCCATAATCTCTACCCAACATGGCCATAATCTCTACCCAACATGGCCATAATCTCTACCCAACATGGCCCCAATCCTCTACCCAACATGGCCCCAATCCTCTACCCAACATGGCCATAATCTCTACCCAACATGGCCATAATCTCTACCCAACATGGCCATAATCTCTACCCAACATGGCCCCAATCCTCTACCCAACATGGCCATAATCTCTACCCAACATGGCCATAATCTCTACCCAACATGGCCATAATCTCTACCCAACATGGCCCCAATCCTCTACCCAACATGGCCATAATCTCTACCCAACATGGCCATAATCTCTACCCAACATGGCCATAATCTCTACCCAACATGGCCATAATCTCTACCAAACATGGCCCCAATCCTCTACCCAACATGGCCATAATCTCTACCCAACATGGCCATAATCTCTACCCAACATGGCCATAATCTCTACCCAACATGGCCATAATCTCTACCCAACATGGCCATAATCTCTACCCAACATGGCCATAATCTCTACCCAACATGGCCATAATCTCTACCCAACATGGCCATAATCTCTACCCAACATGGCCATAATCTCTACCCAACATGGCCACAAGCACTACATTTGTATTTTGCTATATGTTTGCTTCCACTCTCTGTGTCCGGCTTTCACCCGTCACTGTGTACATGTGTACACGCTGCCCGAGGGTGTACATGTGCATCAATATGCTTATATGTGTACAGCTACAAAAACACACCTGCACATCTGCTGGTACAGGTAGATTGTACAGGTAGATGGTACAGGTAGATGCACCTGCGTCGTACTGTAGTGCACTCGTCCACACACTTCCTGTAACGTTTGTGATGAGTGTTTGTGTGTTGGATGTTTGTGTGTTGGATGTTTGTGTGTTGGATGTTTGTGTGTTGGATGTTTGTGTGTTGGATGTTTGTGTGTTGGATGTTTGTGTGTTGGATGTTTGTGTGTTGGATGTTTGTGTGTTGAAGGTTTGTGTGTTGACGGTTTGTAAGTTGAATGTTTGTGTGTTGGATGTTTGTGTGAAAGGCAAAGCCATGCCCGGTGCTAAAGGTGAAGGCCGAGTGATGTGAGAGGGTGCTAAAGGTGAAGGTCGTGTGATGTGAGAGGGTGCTAAAGGTGCTAAAGGTGAAGGTCGTGTGATGTGAGATGGTGCTAAAGGTGCTAAATGTGAAGGTCGTGTGTTGTGAGAGGGTGCTAAAGGTGAAGGTCGTGTGTTGTGAGAGGGTGCTAAAGGTGAAGGCCGAGTGATGTGAGAGGGTGCTAAAGGTGAAGGTCGTGTGATGTGAGAGGGTGCTAAAGGTGAAGGTCGTGTGATGTGAGAGGGTGCTAAATGTGCCAAAGGTGAAGGTCGTGTGTTTTGAGAGGGTGCTAAAGGTACCAAAGGTGAAGGTCGTGTGTTGTGAGAGGGTGCTCACGTCCTGTTTCTCTTGTGCAGCTTGGAGGCCGGTGACGTAACGGAAGGTTTCGAACCCCTGCCCCACGAGTCATGCTATGATTTCTCGTCGTCTGACCACGCGAGGTACGTGGTGGACAGCTCTACCGGCTGGCCACTCAAGCGCTCACAAAGGTAGGCAAGTGCTCACTCGATGTTGTGCACGTGCTAGAGCTGTAGTACTCACGTCGTGTTAGGCACTCAGTCATGCAGGTTTAGTCATGCAGGTTTAGTCATGCAGGTTAAGTCATATGACATGCAAGCCATATTGCTGTTGCTACTTGTATGACATGCAAGCCATATTGCTGTTGCTACTTGTATGACATGCAAGCCATATTGCTGTTGATTCTATGACATGTATTATTGCTGTTGCAAGCTGTGCATATCATGCTCGTATATCGATGTTGTAAGTTGAATGTTGCATGTTTTTGATGTTTTCTTGCTATAGAGTAAACCAAACACGGTGCAGTTCATCCCTACATTTCAAAAAATTGTCTAACTAAAATTTTTTGTTCCAAGTGATTTTTAATTAACGACAATTCAAATGATGGCTAAATGTATGGCCTTACAGATTTTAAATTGTCTAATCTAAATTATGCTTCAATGGGGCCATCCTTGTATAAATGACCTTCAGATGGGGCCATCCTTGTATAAATGACCTTAAAATGGGGGCCATCCTTGTATAAATGACCTTCAGATGGGGCCATCCTTGTATAAATGACCTTCAGATGGGGCCATCCTTGTATAAATGACCTTAAAATGGGGGCCATCCTTGTATAAATGACCTTCAGATGGGGCCATCCTTGTATAAATGACCTTCAGATGAGACCATCCTTGTATAAATGACCTTAAAATGGGGGCCATCCTTGTATAAATGACCTTCAGATGGGGCCATCCTTGTATAAATGACCTTAAAATGGGGGCCATCCTTGTATAAATGACCTTCAGATGGGGCCATCCTTGTATAAATGACCTTCAGATGAGACCATCCTTGTATAAATGACCTTCAGGTGGGGCCATCCTTGTATAAATGACCTTCAGATGGGGCCATCCTTGTATAAATGACCTTAAAATGGGGGCCATCCTTGTATAAATGACCTTCAGATGGGGCCATCCTTGTATAAATGACCTTCAGATGAGACCATCCTTGTATAAAAATTTACATCAGAACAAGATTCACACCTACACGGGTCTAGATTGCGCTCAGGGGCTCTCATCTTTTTTCTTTCATGTACCCTCACGTTACTTGACCTGTAATCTTAAAGACTCCTTGTGCATGTATTGATATAGTTATGTTATCTTACTACATAATATGTGCCCCCATAGTTATGTGTGCTCCCATTGGGGTATGTGTGCTCCCATCGTTATGTGTGATCCCATTGGAATAGGTGTGATCCCATTGGGGTATGTGTACCCCCATTGGGGTATGTGTGCCCCCATTGGGGTATGTGTACCCCCATTGGGGTATGTGTGCCCCCATTGGGGTATGTGTACCCCCATTGGGGTATGTGTGCCCCCATCGTTATGTGTGATCCCATTGGAATAGGTGTGCCCCCATTGGGGTATGTGTACCCCCATTGGGGTATGTGTGCCCCCATTGGGGTATGTGTACCCCCATTGGGGTATGTGTGTCCCCATCGTTATGTGTGATCCCATTGGAATAGGTGTGATCCCATTGTTATGTGTGCCCCCATTGGGGTATATGTGCCCCCATTGGGGTATGTGTACCCCCATTGGGGTATGTGTGCCCCCATTGGGGTATGTGTACCCCCATTGGGGTATGTGTGCCCCCATTGGGGTATGTGTGCCCCCATAGGGGTATGTGTGCCCGAATTGAGGTATGTGTGATCCCATTGGGGTATGTGTGATCCCATTGGGGTATGTGTACCCCCATTGGGGTATGTTTGCCCCCATTGGGTATGTGTACCCCCATTGGGGTATGTGTGCCCCCATTGGGGTATGTGTGTCCCCATAGGGGTATGTGTGCCCGAATTGAGGTATGTGTGCCCCCATTGGGGTATGTGTGCCCCCACCCAAGAACCCCTGAGATTGCTAGCCGTGGCATCCGATCCCTGACCTTTAATCTAGCAGATGTACAAACACGGACGGCTCAAACAAAGCAGCCGTCAGGTAAACTAATCAGGGGGAGAGTGGTCAGTGGACAGACTCAACTGGTCAGCACTGACCTTCCCGTCAGTGCCGGTCAATAGTGACCTTCCGGTCAGCGGAAACTCGCCACACAGGCCGTCTATAGCCGGCTGAGCGGGACAAAAAGGGGAGGCAATCAGAGGTTGTCTGTTATCCAATAACACACACGTCTGGTAGCCTCCCCTTGAAGATTAAATTGCTGGTCGATGGGTGGCTAAAAATAGAACGGTGGCCTTGGGAAGGGAAAGAGGAATAGATGGATTCAACCATCTTACATCACACGTCAGACTTCTCTATATGTCAATATGTCTATGTCCAGTTACACGAGAATAAAAAAAACAACCCTATATAACCCTAGCACACACAATCGTAGGACACTAAATACAAACTCCAGCACATTAAGCATAGAACTCTGGCACATTAAACACACAACCATAGCACATTAAACACAAAACCATACAGAACCCTAACACATTAAACACACAACCCTAACACATTAAACACACAACCCTAACACATTAAACACACAACCCTAACACATTAAACACACAACCCTAACACATTAAACACACAACCCTAACACATTAAACACACAACCCTTCTAAACCCTAGCACATTAAACACAAAACCATACAGAATCCTAACACATTAAACACACAACCCTACAGAACCCTAACACATTAAACACACAACCCTACAGAACCCTAACACATTAAACACACAACCCTACAGAACCCTAACACATTAAACACACAACCCTACAGAACCCTAACACATTAAACACACAACCCTAGCACATTATACACAAACACACAACCCTACAGAACCCTAGCACATTTAACACACAACCCTTTATAACAACAGCACATTAAACACAACTTTACAACGCCCGTATGCAAGAATTCCCATGGCTAAACATTCAAACAAAACGAGACAGGGAAAGAATTCAACAGAAACACAATCAGCTTTAACTAGGCTGTTTAACAAACATCAAAACACGTCATTTGCTTAAGTAATTAAGTTAGCGCACATCTAGTACACATAAACCCACATCATTATGTCGAACACATTTATAACTCAGCTAACCTGAAAGATACTCGTGCCAATTTTGCTCCAACACAACGCTAAAGCAATGCAAGGGAAGTAACTCTACAATTAGAATATATTTTGTATTCTCCGTGTTGCGTCCCCTTGTATGTCTGCTTACAACAAAACCAAATTTTGAAGCTCCGTTGTGCTGGCCTAAACTATGGCCGCTGGTTGCCCTAAGGATGTATACAGTAGTATACATGTCGGCTTATTGCAAGTTAATTTAATAGAGAGTAGATGATTTTAAGATACGTTTTATAGCTGATTTTAAGTGTGGATATCTCCCTCTTATAGACATGATTTATCTCGACCCATCCACCACTGACCCAGGCCAACGCACGACTGACCCAGGACAACGCACTACTGACCCAGGCCAACCCGCAACTGACCCAGGCCAACCCGCGACTGACTCAAGCCAACCCACGACTGACCCAGGCCAACCCACACCACTGACCCAGGCCAACCCACACCACTGACCCAGGCCAACCCACACGACTGACCCAGGACTGACCCAGGCCAACCCACGACTGACCCAGGCCAACCCACGACTGACCCAGGACAACCCTCGACTGACCCAGGCCAACCCACGACTGACCCAGGCCAACACACGACTAACCCAGGCCAACCCAAGACAAATAGAGGCCTATGCACGTCTTAATGAAGCCTACCCAATATTTATTGAGCAAACGTCGAGTAATTAAAAAACTTTTCAACCGAAAACAACTAGATCTATCTGCGTTCGGGTTAAGAGGAATCTAACCAACCCCCCCCCCCCCCTTTTTCCTTATCTCTCTGCAGACGGAGGTGGGGTAAAGCTGATGCTACAGCTTTAGAACCGCCGATCAAACATCTGCATTATTCCCTATTGATTTGGTTGGCACCGTTTCTGCTCAGTCTAAGGCATCATGTGCAGAAACTTGTACCAAAGATCGGGCGAGAATCGATGGAGGTTATTTTTAGCTTTTGGGGAAATTATGGTTAAAAAAAAGAGGAATAACTCTCAGATAAAAAGTTATCAAAAATAGGATGGGTTCGTTTTGTCCTAATTCGTGTGTGAATTTGTGGTCAGCGTCTAGAACATGCATCTAAGACCAGTGTTTCTTTCAGGCATTTACCTATGAAGGGGTGGACAGTACCCTACAGTACACCCCGGCAATTTAAAGTCCGGCTCCTCCTCCCCCCCCCCCACTCCGAAGTTTCAACTCTGTTGTGTTTTATACAGCTTAACATTACCTGTTGACAATGTGTCGTCTGTCAGACTGGGGGGGGGGGGGGAGCGGGGGGACGTAGTCGATGGACGGGACATATCGATCCCAGGGAGTCATCAATCATCGACAGATGTTATGGACGGCCAAAAATTTGGATTTAAAAACTATGGACGGCTTTGACGGCTGCTACGTAGTTGTTAATTTCGTTTTGAAAGTTGTTAAGTAGGCAACGACCTTTGTATTGTTCAAATAGCGACATTTGAAAAATGTTGTTATAATCTCGACAACTTGGGGATGTCGTCAAAATATCGACATTTTGAGATACTAAAATATCGACATTTGGCTACTAATTCTGACCAAATAATACGCTACAATCAGTGATAAACAACTGTGTAAAAATAGAATTTAATGTGTTGACGGCTATTTTCAGCAAGGAATATCTGTTTTAATTACTTGCGTCATCCAAACCTAATTGAGCTGTCTGTCAAAGAGTCACTGGCGTCATTCTAATCTTAGTTATCAGCCAGACGTCATTCTCCCTCTCCTTTTAACGGTTATCGACAATAGGTTGTGTGGCTTGCTGCTCTTAAAAAACGTTAGGATCACATAAATCATGACGTCAGTGCTATGGTCTTCAAGTCACTGTCATACTCGTTGATTGACGTTTATCGTCTCAGGCAGTTATTGTCA